ATGCCCCAGATTACAGGCATGGTCAACAAGACGTAACTGTGACTACAACTATGTTCGGCGATAGCTTTAGGACAAATCGTCTTTGGATCATGCCTTTAAGGCTATAAATGCTTGTAAATACTAAAATTTTACCTAAATCATCCCACCTTATCGAAAACGCATTTCAGAATTTCAGCTAACATTTCATGAGATCAGTCACGTACTGTATGTTACCTTGTATCCGAGCCGACTTCTATGCTTACAAATGACCTAGGCTAGTTTACCTGACCCCTGCATGTTTCATATTGAGAAGACATTAATACAAACTCGAGATGTTTACGAGGGGAATCGGATGCTCTCGAAAGTCGTTTTTTATTTAATTACATTCGCAGATGTGTTTAATCTCCAGACGAAAATCAGAGTAATATTTTCTGCAAAGAATACTTTTCAAGACTTTCCAACACGTTCCTGGCCTTAGCAAACAGTCAATAATCAACCGCAGAAAACCCTCTAATTTCTCATATGTTATTTGAATGCGCCAGAATGAAAGGAATTGGCCGGAGGGTTGTCAATTTCAGCGGCATCCAACTATTTACTCTGTAACTATTTATATGATCAACATCCTGTGCAGTCAGGTGCGTAAAACATGGCATATTTGTGAGCAAATATAGCGAATAATGTTCCAATGTAAAGAGAAAGGCGTTCTTAGTACATCGTGCCTGTATCAACTTCCCACTCTTGGGTAAGTCCATCTGAGTGTGAAAAATATCCGAACAATGACGAAAATGAAACGCTCGATGGCAAAAAGGAAAAATTCTTTTTACATTTTCCTAAAAAGGCACAATTGAGAGGGCGATGTAAAAATGTCCACAAGTTATTTAGAACGTCTACTGCATGCAATACTTGTGGCGCAAAACTCATTCAGTCAGCAGTCGTGTTCCTGCCACGGTCGATGCAGTAATTACTATTTAACTGCCTACAAAAGCTCAGTGATTCATTTCATCAGTCTGCAAAATACAAAAACCATTTCTTTCACAGAGTCTCGCAGAAGGTAGTCAGACGGCGTTAAGTCAGGTGAGCGTAGGGGATACTACAGTAGTACATTGCCTCTATCAACTGCATGCCCAATCCACCGTTCTGGTCGTGAGGTTTCGGTGTAGCGGAGCTTTAACTTGCGGAAGAATAAATTGGACATGCCCACTTGCTTTAATTTTTTAAATTAGTCAGTTCCGAATCATATCTAGCTATTTGTCTTTGGTCACGTTTATCTGGAAGAAAAATGACTATGTACACAGTATTTTCAGATGTTATAGAGCTGCTTCATAATTAATGGTTTTTTACTTATATTTATTTGCGGCATGTAGACATTTGCCATTCCAACCGCAGAAACTTGCTCGCACGTTTGCAATTCCAACGTAATGTAGCCCCGTCACTGGCAATTTAAAAGGCTGCCAACTTCAAGCCTCTTTTAATAACCCTGTAAAGCATTCTGCGCCCCAGACAGTCACCCGACCTTAAGGCCTGCAGGGGTGTTAGTCACAACGTCTTCTAGTGACACGCCAAAGATTGAACTTGTGTCTGCTTTTTGCAGAAATTTCCTTAGAACATAACCGAGGGATGGCGAACTTAGATGACCATCTCGTGTGAAGCTCGTCACTTTAAGATTTCCTTTTTGACTTTACCGTGGAACGTCTTATGGTGTGGCCAATTCAGCTATCCTATTGGCAATTATTTATGAAATCTTGAAACAAGTGCACGTAACGTAGGCGTACCACACGGCGGTCCACACGTCTAATCCTGAGATGGGGATCATACGAAGAATCGAAAATTTCAGAAAAATCGATTTTTAACACATTAGAAAGGTTTAAAAAAATTTAAGCGGGATTTTGTTACGTTGTTGGCTGATGAAATGACGGCAAATATTTAGGCACATCCCTTATCGACAGGAATGCGAAAAACGTACCTAATGTTATAGAAGGAGTTTGGTTTTACATTGGTACGCAGACATTCGCCAGTGACATATTTTTTAAAGCACTTTGCAATTAAGCAAGTTATTAGAGAAAGTCCTTCCTTGATTTTGAGTGTACTAGTTGCCGGCTTTCATTGTTAGTTTCATTTTTAGCCGGTAGGGTTTCTGTTTCGCTGGGTCTACAGGTATTACCATTACGTTCATTTGCATCCTAGAGAATGTCCAAGAACCCAGAAATGTCTGTTAGTGTTTTTAAGACAAGTCTTATTTTGAACGTCTTAATAAACACACACAATACATTACATCAATATGTTTAACCATTTAATAATACTGAAAATCGAAATGCTTTCGCTATATCTTAAGGATGATCTAGAATCCTTTGTCGTCCACAACCAGACAAAACCGTTAAAAAATTCATGAAGGAAAGGCTCTCTAAATGAACGCACAATGGTATGTTTAGGACTAAACCTACTAAACCTATTCAAATTCACCCAGAATTGGCCAGTTTGTTAACATGTGACTTCATGAAATCCTTTATTCTCTTGATATTTTTGCCTGCGTTGTTGATCTACACCCCAAATAATTTAAAACGCAAAAATACAGTTCATTCTTGTGCAACCATATTGGAAAATTTGCCCAAACTCTGGTCTGCTGACTGACTATAATACTTGGCAATACCCTTGAAGTGCAAGACTGGCGACATAATTTTCGTGCGATATCCTCCCTGTTCTCCTTTATTTACCCGGATTTCGTATGGATGTCTTTCTGTACATCTTACATTTAATCAGTCGCGGTGATGTTTGACGTTCTTGAAAGTTCCACTTTGACTGGAGGTTGCACTCTTTCCTCTCCACTCCAAGGTGTTACTTTGGAAAAAGCAACAATATTCCTCAAATAAAATGAAAGACGGAAAGTATTTTACCGAATTTACATCATTATTCGCCCAGATAACATTACTGTCCTCAAGCATTTAAAGTCATTCAATGAAGAAATCGTTGATTTCGCATAGGAAAATTAATTATTACGAATAAACGGAAAAAAAGTCTATAGTTTTATGTTCAATTTACAAAAAAACTGTGCCCTACCAATAACGCTGTTGCAAAACGGGCAATATTTGTCGATGGTGTGGCTCGTACATGGATGTGTATGTCCATATTAATAGAGTAGTATAGACGTGCAATCAGGTATGTGCTTATAAAGTTGAAGTAAAAGCACAAATATTGCGCCAATTGGTTGAAACTGCGTATGTACACGGATGCATCTTCAAGGAGACGCCAGGGCGTGCTAAATGTCCCTTTAGTGAAACTTGGTTCCATTGATCAGGATAGGTGCTGACGGGTATCTTCAAAAAATATTTGGAAACATGCTAACTTCTCCCTAGAGCCAACTTAATTCAGCAGTCGAGAAATTCACGGAGAGTGGCAAAAAATTGAAAATGTCACATTAGTGCGCACCGAACGTTACACATTTCGTTTGTTTGCATATTGCGCCCGGAAATTCCTTCTTTCGCTCAAAATATTTGCACATGTTATTTCATTTAAAAAATTGTGAAAAGTGGTCGGCGCATGTTTCATACAGATCGAGCTGCCGCCAGGATTATAAAGAGGGTCGACAGTAGTTTTCTTCATTTTTGATCGTTCGCAGTCGATCACGAATACGCGAATAATGGTCATGCGAATACTGAAGAACCGAGCAAACCTTTTACGTTTTGCCCCTTGCTTTTCTAAATCAGACATAGAGAATTTACACCGCGAAAATTCCACGCCATGTGTACTAAATTTAAAATGCTAATTGACTATGGCTATTCTTAACATCACCAATGACGTTTTTGTGAATTGCAGGCAATATTCGCAGGTTTAGACAAGAGTTCGCATGCACGGACTGTTGCTGCCTTTCGGAGCATGAGATCACACAGGTTTACAAATCTGACCTTCAAAAACCGATAAAACGTCTGGTTTTCTATACATAATATCCTTGCTCGCAATTACGTTTTCATGGTTTTGGTCAGACAAATACGATTCTCGAATGTGTCAGGTGTATTTTAGTAACTCTTGATATCTGCTTATCTGCACTATAAAACGGACAGTTTGAATTTACCACGCCCATAAACGTAGAAAATCGGTCGCCAATAGAGTAACGTCTATATCCGCTCACATTTACAAAAGTTCCGCCTGTCAATATCGCTTGCACAAAAGTCTCCACATAAGACTGACATCCACCAAAAGAGACTGCGCGAGCGATGAGGATACGCAGCGTTTGAGAAGCCTAGTATTATCATATCTGTCACCGTCATTGTGCTCCGTGAGTTGACTGCTATGCAGAGCCTGTAGTCAATAAGTGAGCAGTTCAAGGTTTGAACTTTGATCAAAGCTAAAATACGAGGTAGGTGGCGGGACCAGCAGCTGCAGCAGCCACTACAGAACTTAGATGACGAAAGCGAGGGATTCCGAAACTCTAACGCAAATGCAATTCGGTCCTTGATCTCGCCTTCTCTTCTTCTTTTTTGTCTTCTTCTCTTATTGCATATTCGCCTTGACATTTGACGATGCAAGCGAAACTGCGAGTCCCAGGAACAAGTTGATAAGAAGCAGATGAGAGCGCTGCAACATGAACCTTATTTGCCTAGCGTTTTGGATCCCAGTTCAAACCCATCATCAAAGACAATGAAAGAGATATAATGAATATGAAATTTACCGACCCTGATTAGTTTTGATAATGTGTTAGAATCTATATCAGGTTTCTCCACGGGAGCAATTCCCACCAATTTCGGAGGGTTTTTATTGGGGTGTTTCAGTGCGTAATTCTTTGTATGCTCAGAACTTTGGTCTAAGGGGGGAGGCTGTTAGTGCGGGCGTTAGATGCAAGTCCACGAGTCAGATGGTTTGTGTGGAGTGTCACGTGCGAAATCACGATCAGGAATTGGAGAGTCCCAGGCAGATACCAGTGAACCAATCATCACAGATTTAAATGTAAGACGATTGCAGTTTTTGTCAACAACGACGCTTATATCAATCCTGGCAGCTTCCTCCCACTAAAATTTTCTGTCATTTCAATGTTTCGTACCCTATATATCTTCGTCGCAGTCTACATTCTGCGTGGATGTCCGAAAATTATGCGTACGTTTTCCGAAGGTTTTCCGCCTGTTTTAATGCACGTCCAATGAACATGCCTTATTTTTCAAATGACTTAGTAACGATGTATAGTACTTTCTCAATTGATACTCTAATGGCTGAAAAAAAAACTGACTCAGGGCAACTGGCGTACTAGTGAAGACTTTTGATAAACCTGTTTTCTTCTAAACCTTGAGATCAGTCCATTTTAGTCTTGAGCAAAGCAGGTAGTAGAATGAAATAAAATAATTCAGTAAAGATTTGCATTGTGTCTGATCGTCTGTCTAACAATCTATCAGGGAGCAGAAAATTATGAACCAACTGAAAACTTTTTTCTTTATCTAGGCATAAAATTCAAAAAAATAACGTGGGGGTTATCCCTCATTTCTGCCCACACACTTGAAACATATGAGAGAGGGTGGTGCGATCGCTGGACCAAGAACTTTATCTACCTTGCCATTCGAATGTAGAGGCAATCATACAAGATTCACTGGCTTGAACGGTCGGTTAGATGTAAGAGATGCTTAGTGAGAAGGAAGCAACCTCACCTATCAATAAATGTTTATCGCGCATGTAGAGTGGTACTGATAGATCAAGAAGCCGATCAGCCGAAGTAAAGGAGCGCTGAAACTACCGGTCTGCGTACTCAGACAATTCCTGACAAACACAGCACACCTTCGTAATACGTCTTCAAATCTTCAAGCAATTGCCTTGATAAGGTGCACTCTAGCTATTTGGCATTCTTTATTTTGAAATGAAGTTGTTGGCTGTTATGGAATCATATAGAATCTGTCAGTCGTGCGGTGAAGATTCCGGTCGAAGGAGAGTAATGGGCGGCGGGCGTAGGGAAAGCGACCACATTTAACTATAAGGACCCGGGATTTTTTCATATGGAGATTTATTTTAAAATTAATTTACACACCGTTGTGGACACTATACTGACATCGGAAACTACTTCACATGACCTCGGACCCTTATATAAACTCCATTGTTTAGAAATTTGCCTCTTGTTTATTTTTTAATTATCCCGCCCAATTTCGTTGCCATAGGAAAGCATTGGACAAGACTTCCGGTAGAAACCCTAACGATTCCCGCACCTTCTTGTAATTCGTGGCCTACTATCTTGCATGCTGCTCCAACCGTATAAACCTCATTGCCATAATTCCCCTATGACACCATCCAAAATCTATCGCAGTTAAGTGGGGTCCTTCACTTTACTATAGCCCAATAGAACAACTACAAGTTGTTAACGATAGAGGAATGAGGATGTGCTTACTGTGTGTATTTCAAAGGTGTCTTAAGCTTTCCAAATTCTTCCAAATTTTCCAAATTCCAAATTCAATGATAGCTGTCCTTTAAATGAGATCCCTCTAAACGAAAATACAGTAAAACCCTTGAAAGTAATGCTGAAATGCAAAATTCTAAAAGTTTGAATATTACGTCAAAGGAGTAACCTGTATTCGTTAAAATCTCTATCTATTTTCCCGTGAACAGGTAAAAAAATAAAAGACCAAAACAACTTAAGTAAGGCTTTTTATTGATTTTTGAACACGTAAAATACCCTGCGCTATTAAGCTCACTGTGTATTTGGAAATGTAGACAACTTTGCGGGACTGATGTTGTCATGTAACACCGATAATAATTTTTTTGTAATGATGACACATACAATAAAACATAAAGTATGCAAAATTAAACACGCATTTATAAATAGAACTTATATTTCTTTTCTTCGTCTATTGTTGCAAATCAAAGTAATTACCTCAACATAGAAGGCATGTGATAAAACTTAGTCCAGTATTTCATGCATATGAAACGAAGGGAGCTGCAAACGCACAGCTCATGATTATTTTAATTTCTTCCTCATAACAGCACTTGTCGACCACAACCGAACCCTCACGCGTACTTGGGCTTTGAATTTTACCTACATCCCCGCAACCTTGACGCCAACCAACGTGCGTGTTAAGCCCATCGGAGACTACTATGTTTTCTCTGATGCCAAACTTTCGCGCAACTCGCCGCCCGGAAACACCATGTATACTGGCATTATTCCATCTAGCATCCATGCTCACGTTCAACCCCGCGCCTTTGCTAGCACTTTAGCCCTGCAAACAAGTAAGCTTCCTTGTCACCCTGGGTACATCTGCTTTCTAGTAATTTTGAGTATTTCAAAGTGATCAGTATTACATCTATTATCACGGCTTGGACCAAAATCGACCAACCAGTGCATATCAAACAAAATAACTGGCCATTTAGGCATAACAGGATTAGGCGTATGCTCATCTGTAGAGAAGATACACGCATGACAATTTCAGGTCTTATACAGGAGACTGTCTTCAGTGGATGAGAGAAAGCGAAGTGAAATGTACAGTTAGTTCAGTTAGACGGAGGAAATGGAGGAGGAAGGGTTGTACGAGAAGATGTTCGCGATTAGGCTGAGTTGCAATGATCGCGCGATTAACGCCCTTGAAAAAGGACCTTGAATTCTCATATCCGCTTCCGCATAAGTGTCGGATTACAGACACTGACTAATTACCGTTCTTCAACAGTTAAAAATTACTACATTGGAAATACAGCGGCTTCATTGAAATTGTTTGATAGGATTTGCAGCGTCCTCTATCGGTCTAACAAATTTATCTACAGTGGTTTTCGAGATTGCTTTTTCCGCAGATTGTTGTCACAAATAATCCTTATATCAATTTGAAAGTAACTTTAAATATGCATGATAAACCTTACATTATCTGTAGTCCCTTAAAGCCCTAGTAATGCTGAGTCAACTGCTGTGAGCTGCAGAAGTCAACAGTATTCTTGATAAACAACCATACATTCAGTTAGCATGCGCCTGATTCGTGCATTTAACACAAAACTTGGTAGCGTCCCTTCTGTCAAGCCCATCTTTCCAAGCTTGTTCCACCTAACCTTACATAAATTTGAATGAAACACATAAATGTTTTTTGACAATGCGTTTACGTTTTGAGTCTTTATGCGCGTCGAAACAATGGACAAATCTGAGTCACCCCATATGCAGTTCTCTAGTCGTGAGTGCAAGCATACATGCTCGCAACAACTTGGCCTTGTTTGGCGTGCGCCTAAAATTAGCAACATCTCCAACCCCTTAATCTCCCCATTGTAATACTATTTTTTCAAAAAAATTACATTTTGCTTAAACGTAAGTTAATGAACGGAAGACGGTGGCTGACGTACAATAACCGACTGGCCGACTTCTATTGTCATCGACTGACCAACTCATAACAGGGGACTTATTTATTTGTGTGATGACATTTTACATTTTAACTATAGCTGCATATGATAGTTTTCATCAGACTACCCCAAGTATGTGATCCTAAAATAGTAGATAGAGTTTAAGTTGCCTATGATATCCATATAAAATAAATTCTGCTTAGTTTCCATTCTAACACTAGAATATTCATTTAGACTTGGCAATTTGCAGGGCAAAAGACATGCATGCTTTTTCTCGCTCCTAGTTACGGTGGATGTGATATTGAGACGCTGGCCTGTCTTTCTAATAGCGAGTTTGATTTTGTGCGCTGCCGTGGTAAGTTCCTGATTAGCAGACTTATATTTAATAAGCACACGCATACTGAAGTAGCCATAACCAAGTCCCATATTTCAGAGTCTTATGGTCGTTTGGATAGATATAATTAAACTCATCTTTTACTCACTTACGTTGTGGTCACAGACCTCATTTCCTATACTAAGTCAACGTGAAAATATAAATGGTGTGCGATTACAATTTACGGACTACCTCTCAGAGGTCAGGGTCAAATCACTAATGACTGCACATTACTCACGAATGTTAATGACGCCTGCGGCTCCATCTGACCAGTCCTTATGTACATTTGGACTTTCAATGCTCTGTTAAAAAAAACCTTATTATATCACCTCTTGGCCGTAAATACTTTGCTTTTCATTGTGGAAACTTCAAACTTAGCCAAAGTTTCATTGTATGCATAGTAAGGGAGTTTCGATTATTCCCCGTTGCGCATCTTGCTATTTGTCGGACACTAACGAATCATTGTTGCACGAAATGCAAGGTGATTCGTGCCGGAATTATCACCAGCTATGCCGATGCAACCGTTGATGATTTCCGCAATGATACATTACAAAGAGCTGAACAACTGAAAGGGCACCTTCTTTAAAATAAATGTAGTATTCAAACCCCTTGTTTTCGGTTTCCACTAAAGATCTGCGCAAAACGTCATTAAATACATTTTAGTCCAGGGATATCCTTAGACATACAGTGAAATGTTGGCTGAAATTTTGAAATTCATTTTTGATTAGGAAAGATTAATTGAGCACGTCTGTAATACTAATTACTTTGCTGCATAATTCTGTAATATTTTGGTATCAGAAAGTTAGCACCTTTTGAATACACTGCTTTTAAATCTCCTTGAAACCGTAATCGGTAAAGGTGACTACCTAAGGGGCATGCATTTTCCCAATAGTTTTGGTGGTCGTGCAAATTTAAATATATCATGTATAAAGCATAAAGAAAATACGAGTTATTTCAGTAGTTTAATGGAGAATTACAACTTGTTTATATTTCCTACTTAACGAAAAGCCAAAATTAAATTTTAACGAATTGTCTCATTATGAACTTCTTCTTGACCGCGCAATGTCTATTCACTTAGCATCGCACATGGTCGTTTACCGCAACTAATCATGAAATGTACAACATGGTCCGCATCCATTGCAAATTATTTGAACTCCCTTTGATATATTTTGCCTAACGTAAAAAAATATGTGATTTTATTTTCGCGGAACACATCCATCTTGTAGGCAGAAATCACTAAGCGTTAATAAATCAAATGTTTTGGCTCCAAATTGTTCGCGAATTAGAGAAGGTTTTTTTAAAACCCAATTTTACTACTTCTTCGCGTGCAAAATATAAAGATGACACGATTGTCTACTAAGCGACTTAATTAAAGCATATTTTGTTCATGGCTTATAAAAGACATAATTGTATTTGTAATGCTATCAAGAATAAGCGAGAAAAGTGCATGCTACGTAAGTAGCCATTTCTTTACCGAGTATGTTTTCAACAGAAGACTTCCTGCGGTTGCTACACACCGACTCAGTCGGTTAGTCGGTTGTGCGAAGCCGTGACTGGGGTTCACGTCGGAGGCTACGGAAGGCAGGGAGCTGATTGAGTGCTAGTTGAAATTTGTGTGCTGTTTTGGTAGTCACTAGAAACGTATCGCAAGCTGCCAAATTTTCAAAAACAGTTCTCAAGACGATCCTGGGCGACGCAGCACCGGAGTCTATGGTGTTTATGCGCCAAGGGAAAAATCGCCCTCCATAAAATCGCCAACGCCAAAATTGTTTTTCTCAGGCGCTGTGACCCCATCCTTCGTAGTCTGCTTCTGCCTGGCCTTCAAATTGTTGATGCAGAAAGAGACGGTGCTCAGCCGTTCTGGTGGTCCACGCCTCGGCTGACTGCAGGCGAAGGTGTGTAGGCGGTGCAGCCAAAACACATTTGACTTAAGGGCACTGCGGATGATGCACACCGATTCAGTTTGTTAGTCGGTTGCGCTGACCCATGACCGAGACTGGCGCCAGAAGCTACGGAATGGAAGAGGCTGAGTGAGCGCTAACTAACCGGTGGACTTCAAGGGTCCGCATCTCCTTTAATACGACACCATGCGACCCCATCCTACTTCTATAGCTACAATGTCTTGAACCGTGTTCAAACTCGTTACTGCATGAAAGATTTAAGAGCGGTCGCTCAATTGTACATAAATGTGCACGTAATGATAAATTTACACATGTGCTGTTGAGCATCGTTCTTACCATAAACCTTCCAAATTAGACAACATATACAGCTTCGTACGAGCTCCGTTCTATCACATTTTAGTTCTTCGCGGTGATCCCCACCGTCAAGTAGGCTGCCTTAGAAGACTCACCGCCAGTCATTTTTAAAATGCTGTGAAGGCAATAAGGTTATCTAATCATAAACTTGCAATGTCACGCTGCATCTCAGAAGCGCCTGCATCCACGGAGTACATAAACGCAATCGTTTTTGCTATCTTCTCAGAATAATGCAACATATCGAACAAAGATTTGGGGTCCGAAACCTTTGAAGTCGATGATAGCGATAGGAAAAGAGTCACGACTAATTTCATTACTTGTGTAATGGTCAACCGAATCCTGATATAAGTACGCTCTAGTTGTCTGCCAAGCTATCCACTAACAACAAATATCACATGGAGGATGTTAAGAAAATATTCGTTCGGTCTAAACGCATGTCTGCTAGTATCCTCTTAACCTTCCTAATCTGGCAAAGTGCATGCGCACGAGGACAATTAACAATTAAACGAAAGGTGTTTGGTGTTCTTTAATACATGAGACAAACAGGGAGGAAAAAACCTTTAGTGACATAAGAATACAACTTCAAAATACGTCCTCTCAGCACAGCATTTAAAGATATTTTGCGTAAAATCATAAATTTAGTTCATACCTTAGAAAGCGAGGCAAAACACATTTGGCTTATAGACACTGCGGATACTGCCCGCTTATCCAGTTGATTAGTTAGTTCAGCCAACCCATGGCTTAGGCTGAGGCCAGAGGCTACGGAAGGGAAGAGGCCGGTTGAATACGAGAAAACCGGTGAATTACAAGTGTGCGCACATCCCTTAATGCGAAGGCATGCAGAGTCAGTGCGCCTTCCGAGGCTACAGTTTCTTAAACCGTGCACTAAGCTATGGACGCAGGAAATACTTACGAACAGTCACTTAATCGATCGTAAGTGTATGAAAACATATACTTACAAATGTGCTATTGAGTATGAGGTTTACCTTATCATCTGTACGTTTTTCTCTCCCAGTCGCACTATGAATAATTTAGCTTTAAAACTGTCTGCAGAAATCTTTATTTAACTCAAGGTAATTCACGGGCTACCTAATCAAAAACGTGCAATGCCATGCTACATCGTAAACTTACACACAGCTGGAGCCCACATGTACACCACCTCCTTGGCAAGGCTCTCTAGCGAAAGGCAGCGGATTGAGAAGAGTCGGTGATTTGAATGCCTCTAATGCGATAATAGTAATAAGTGGGAAGTCACGAATAATAAACAATGAAAACATGCTTAAACTATGCTCCAATTATTCTCCAAATCATCCACTAGTTCTGGCCACTGCGTAAAAGACTTTAAAAAAATATCCATGGGTCTGGACCCGTGGATATCGATCTCCTTCAACTTTCTTTATTTGGTAACGAACTTGACAGGAGGGCAATCGGAGACTAACCGAAAATAATTTTGTGCACACAAATAAATAATACGCGCGTAGCGACGTAAGTGACGTAGAAAATTAAAATACACGCTCTACGTATATCCTCTGAACTGTTGATTTAAGAACATTTAGTGCATCATCATAGCGTAACGCAGTAGTTCAACCGCCATTTCGGCGTATGTGTAGTAAGCCACAAGCCTGCTTACTGTTTCAATCGTCACCTGGCATGTTACGCCGAGGAAGCACCCGGAGTGGACGTGGTACGTATAGAGTTCGTAGGGACTAATAGTTGCTGTTTACTAGTTCAGCGATGATACCCTAGCAATTAGTAAACAATATAAGGTAATCTTTAAATACTGTAAAAGCAAATAATCTACACAATTTGGTATATGCTGGGTCTTATACGTACGATTATTGAAATCACAGTATGTTTTAAAAAAGCTTGTCCAAAAGTCTAGCAAGTATTGTTTCAGTGGGTCGTAGCTGAACTACAGATAACCTGGTCTGTCTTTCTACTTCCTCCTAATTCAAATCTCAAACACCCCTTCGCCTAAAGACGAACAAACTAAGACCTGAGACTATCATATGAAGCCGGATGCAATATTAGAAATTTTAGCCTCTGTGCGCTTGAAAGTTTCAACAATTTTATGTCTCACTATTACCCACTCATCTCTACAATTGATGTCTCTCAGCAAACCTTCCATGTGCGCGTGAGGATTTGCCGCTAAAATATGTATTGATCTTCATCAATCTGAAACCTGGCGACCATCTGAAGAACTCTAAGTATCTCCGAGCTCGACTCGCGTTAGGCAACATAATTCTATGATTTCACATTAACGCAGTTTAGTGTAGGTTGTACTGGCGTTTTTCTATTGCTCTTGAAAGTATTTTTTGATTTGTTCGAAGTTATTTTTTTCGTTAGCGGTTGTAAGCAATTACCAAACAGTGCCTTGTTCTGGGTTAATGCAATTTTTGTTCCCCTAGTTGCATAAGGATTTGGCGTTCTGTGAAAAAAGAAACGCCGGTATTAAGGTACATCTACAGTACTTGTTTAAAGAGCAATTTGACTTGATTTAAAGATCTATGCGTGCTATAGTATCCTGTTGCCTTAGGTTTGGGTGGTTTATTTTGGTAATTGTCGTTCTGGACTACGTTTGCGCAACTGTGTATGTCTTTATAAGAGCAGAGTAACCTATATGGGAAAAATTTATCAATAAACTTACTGCACTTGAGACCTACTTTTATTTTCTACGCAAATCATTTAGTGGTACATATGAACAAGCATGGTAGTTTTAAAAAAACAAATCATACATTTCAAAGGTTCGGACCTCTAAATCTGTGTGGCATCATGCAGTAAAAAGTAGTACTAACATCTACATTAAACTATTTCATGAAACGTTCAGATTATTACCTGCCATTTTATAACGCCGCACAACTAGACGTGAAGAAACCTGTTACCAATTTGTTATATCAAATGTTAAGCATATGGTAATATGCTATATGCGACACGGCTTATGCTAGTACGTAAAGAAAAACGGAACGGGTAGAGCATTATCAGTTTTAACAATAGAACAGTACTTAGAAATTCACTCCAATACACACTGTTGCCGGTAGGGCGGGATATAAAAGTAATCAAATTTAGCCAAAATTTGTATCGATTTTAATTCGATAAAAACGTACACAGCTCAGCTTTTCATTTTGGAATCTGAAAAATCGTCGCATAAGCCCATCTTTGTGTGTCGCCGATTAAGAAAGCTAAAACTTGCAAAGTAGTTGATAACGTTTCAAAGACAATTTGAGTTCCAATGGCCTGAATCACTTGAAAAAAACTACGTAATAGTTTTACAAAAGTATATGTTTCTTGGTACACCCAAGTGGTATGCTTCCGCTAGCTCCATTCAGATTTCATAGCATGTTCAAATGTGGCGAACCAATCGGTAAAGCTAAGCGAACTCATATTTGACATAAGCAACCGTATCTCTAACTATGTAAAACGAATTTTTCCACAGTAAATTCTTCTGTGTAAACTCCACAAATGTCTATTCCCAAGCGGTGTATCTACGCAATTGCATCTACTCAGTTTTTTTGCATAGGTGGCGTTTGTGTGCATATGCAACACCAGTTACTTCATTTACAGTGGTATTTTACGGTTTCGCCATCGCTTTTAAAGTTCTCTGGTTTTTATTTCACCTAAACTCCGTTATTAGAGTGTGGACTTTTTATCCATGTATTTGGGCCGGATTGCGGGTTATAAGAAATCATTCGTAAACCTTGGCACACTTCATGAGAAACTACATGTATGGTATTTGGCAGCGAATCAAAGTCCCGCGTTGTGGTTCCAACGCCAATGCGTAGGTGCAGCAAACCACAGGCCTGCATAAAGACCAAAACGTTTCGTATACATATTAACAGGGGCCGGAGGTTGCGATATTGAGTGTTTTAGAAGCCCAGCATTATTCATTTTTATTTCTCCGTTGAATATCTAAGGAGGAAAAAAGCTGTTTGAAAAATAGTAATGAAGGACTGCAGCGCAGAGCCGCAATGATATGAAGGATCATCTACTTCGCAAGGTACAACACAATAACACATTGCTTAGGCATCTACATCCTCGACATCAACCTGGCACAACAGCCCTTGGTTGAAAAATTACAGTTCAGTAGATGGAGAAAAATATGACCAAATAGATACATTTAATATCTAACAAAGAGATCTCCCTACATGCTAAAGAGTTGGTAACGAGATTATTATTGGAACAAGGCATCCATTCGGGAGCGCCTGAGCAGCTTTATGGACATATCTGTGGCCAGATACGTAAGTTATTAGCGGAGGGTTGAACACATGATTCGTTGGTCGCTGGTCGCATGGTCAACAGTGCCCACGGCCGCGCTGGCCGACGTGAGTGAGATTTGTGAGTGCAGCTGTGACTGGGCGCAGTTGAAGGCAAAACGACTTAAATCAGTGTTGAGAGGTGGTCACATATTATCTAAATGACTGTAGGTTATTACAGAGGAGTTTCCTTGTGTTATTGAAACTCTTGCCTTTATGATTATGATTATGAGGAGTTTCCTTGTGTTATTGAAACTCTTGCCTTTATGATTTCGGTGGTATTTTTTTGAAACGAACGAAACACGCTGAATGGCTTAGCATTTCTAGCGTAATTTTACATTTAAAATGGCTGACAGGATTATCAATTGTAGGTATTTTCAGAGTAAAAATGAGTTAAGTGAGATAGCACCGCGTGGAAGTCGTGCAGATCATTTGTTATTTCATGAGCTGTTTGGGATAGTCATTACCGCAACACTTATGCAGAAGCTCTGCCTATTATTGACAGTCAGATATTTGCTGTTGGGTATCACGTGCAAAAAAGCAATCAGAGCAGTTATGATGCCACAGACTCGAACAGTTGAGCCAATAGGTGACATCGACTCTCGCAGGGCGTCAAAAGAAACTGCTATATATCTCTTCAACCCTGTACTGTAGAGAGTGTTAATTGAACTCAAAATGTTCCAAATTTTGTACATCTTCGTCATAAACCACATTCTGCGTGGATGCCCGAAAACTATGCGTACGTTTTGTAAACGTCTCCACTTTTCGTTACATGTCTATGTTTTATGCTAACATGTTTTTTTCTAATTTAAGCTAACATTCTTTAAAAGTCCTAAACGATCAATTAATTGGCCATACGTTGAGTTCAAACATAGATTGATGTAAGAGAACGGCCTAACTGAAGGCGAGTGAAAGAAAATGTGATATTGATGATGTTCACTATAGATGTTGTCACATCAAGCATTCAGTAGAATCCACAAAACACGCAGTAATGACTAATCCGTCTATAAAAACACAACTTCTGATTTTTGCAACGGAAGTATTGGTTCTATGCTTGGCTACATTATATGGCATTTTTCCACTGCATAACTATGGTCAACTTAAGGCACTACTAATATCCTGAAGGAATGCACAGTAAGTATGACTTTTACTAATTCGTAGGTTATAATTGTCTGACAAAAATCTCCATTACGTCAAAACCGGCATAAATTCATAAGCCGGTTATCCTACTTAATAATAGTTAATAATAACATCCAGTTAACCGAAAGTACCACGTGTATTGAAAAATTACATTAAATTGTCAAATGCCGCGTTATGCCAGTATGATAAGTAACAGTAATTTATTTAATTATCTGCTCCGTCAGTGAATGCGACTGAGTAAATAGAAGAACAAAAATAGTAAAACTTGAAGAGCAACTGTAGCAGATCTCGAATATTTATTATAATATGTAATTGGGTCCCTATTCGACTACTTGACATTTGATTTTTGTTTGTAACATCACTATTCCTTTCCAACGTGAGAATAAAACATTGTCCTGGAACTCTGTTTATGTGAAAACCAGCATCTACTCCTACATCGGCGACCTTATTATCATTTGCACAGAAGCGTACTCAAGTGCTCAGGTTAACTACTCAGAATACCAACATTCCACATTGGATCCTAAAAAAAGTATAGCGTCTCTTTATTCCAGAGTAACGCGGGACGCACAATAAGAAACGTCATTCTCATTTGCATTTCATACTTCTTGTCAAAAAGTTCGTTATTTGCATATAAGGATGGTAGCAGTTAAAACCTTTTTAACGATTAAATTAATATTTTTCTCTAAAATAGCACTAGTCCATAATAAAACAAGCGACGCGGATGCTAGAACTACGAATTCGACCTTCCTTCGCGCCTCCTGGAAATCATTTCACATGCTTGGCAAGATTTCTCTCAGTACGCAGTCCGTGGACACTGTTTATACTGGGCTCGTTTCGGCAAATGCCTCAAGCCTTGTTCAACCCCGCGATAACGCCAGATCAGTAAGCAACAAAACAGGTAAATTCCGTTTTCAACTTGTAGAAATTTTCATGCACACGAATTCGGGCATTGCCAAATGGTTAAGGCGTTCGTATAGATCGTTGATGCGCAGATGATGGTTCAAACTGGACAGTGTCTCAAATACTCGAACAAAGAATAATTCAGACAAAACAAGTTAGGCACATAGCTAGCTTTTAGAGTACATTGTGCAATTAATGGCTATTCATAAACTAATAACTGCTGTTTAGTGGAGACACCGAGTGCACATGTTCCATTTTGTAGGATTTCAGGGACTTCCTTCGATCTCGCGCGTTTTAGTATAATTTTGCACTTATCTAGATTCGCTACACATTATTCAATCAAAGATTTAACCAACTAAGTTACCATCACCTCCAACCGCGTACGATCCATTTTTATCTTTTCTGTAAATCATTAAGATACGAGTAACTTCACTGCAATAACAGCAAAAGTAGGTTGCTGCGCAGGCTGGCAACCAAAGTTCCGTCAAATTAAGATTACTTTTTTTAAATTAACTCGAAACAAGGTCATTTTTCCTTGTTTGGAAATGATAAAATGAAACCAATCATTTCCAAAATGGTCTTCCCTACGCCTATGCATTTTAAGTGCACTAAACAAATGTTCTTTTTACTGCTCTTCCATCTGACGTTTTACTGAACGTAGACATGGCCCGATGTTAATTTTGCGAATATATTAGTGACTTTGATTATAAACCGATTTTTACTTTTGCGGGAAATTGCTCATTGTTTCAGGGTCTAATTAACGTAAAATTTACCATGACTACGTCCACCACATTTATATCTGCAGGGTGGTTTAAAAATATTCAGAAGAAAATATGCCTATTACGGAATCCCACTCAGGTCTAAAGACTGCATGTCGACTTAGAGTTAGCGGTAGGCCAACGTCAAATGTTAATAATGACGCTGCTTCTTGTTTACCCACTTGTGCTCTTTTGTTCTTTTTTAAGAAAAATCTCTTACAAAATATAAGTGTGTTGTATAATTTTACCGGACAAGTGTCTACGATGATTCGATGCGGCTGATACAGTGCCTTTAGCAAAATCGAACGTAGTTATTTAGGTCGCACAGAAACCACGTCACTTGCTCTGTATGATCTACGGAAATCACGATGTTTCCTCTGTTAACAAAATTCCGCCAAATACGCAATACACGAGCACTATGTATACTGGCCTCGTTTCGCCATCTGCCTCAGCCTATATTCAACCCCGCACAATGCCAAAGCATTAATCAGCAAAATATACACTAGCTTTTCATTGTGTGGTTAGATCCATTAACACAATTCCGGAGATTGGCAAACGTTTAGGTTGGCAGTATCGACCGCTGGTCACGCAATTGATGGTTCAACTTGAATGGCCGTTTATTTTCAACTGAACAACGCATACTTAAGACAAAACAGACTAAATAAATAAATGGTTTTTAAGGGCAATGTGCAGTTAACGTCCACCTACGCGGGGGGTGCGGCGGTTACATATGTCCCGCGTCATAGGATTGCAGTCTCTTTTGCGAATCAGACTCATATTGACAAACCGTTTTCTACTTGTCTGGATTTTCTATGCATGGCTAAGTTAAATTTTCCACGTATAAGGTTGTAAGCAACTTCAGCCGCCCATGAAACATTTTCGAATCTTTTCTAAGAAAATGTGGAGGCAAACGCAAAGCCACTGCAATATGCCTTAGGTCCGGCAATAGATCGAGGTCCTGGTAGGCAACCAAACGTTTAGTCAATATATATTTAAGTATTTGTAAATTATAAGGAAACAAGGTAACGGGCCCTCGCAAATGAACCCATCGTCATGCGAATGATCTTGTCTGATGCTTACGAATATTATTTCCATTAAATGATTGTAATTTCCGGCGAACCTTAAGCTGACCTTTCAGTGAACGGAAAAACAGCCTAATGTCAATTTTGCGAATATGCTTCTGATTTACAATATTCCTAATTCTTGCTTATCTGTGAAACAACACATTTCTTAAATTTCTGATTGACATGCACATAACTTTAATTATTTTCATCACATGTCGGCTTTAAACGCCGGTAGAAAGTAATTTGTTAGACGAAATGGTAATTTTTGAATCTTTAGTTGAATGTCTGTAGACGGCACGGTGGTCGGAAATTTGCGTTCAAGCAAAGTCCTCTTTTGCTTTCACTGTTTTCTTTTTTACATTACCTCGGGCGGTCGCCACTCACCTTCAGAATATTGTTTTAGTAATAGGTTTTTGGATCCATTTTAGCGAAAACGCAGTGAAGTTGGTAGTGGAGGGGTGATCATTGCCCTGATAATATATAATTGTTAATAAGCGTCAGAAAAATTTGCAAAGCCTAACTCACTAAATGGGAAGTAATTGCATTAGTTTTAATGTAAGAATGCTCGACGCTTCTCCTGAGACTGTAGTGCACGCAAATGTTGTTTGATTTATATATACGCCTAGCATATGAGGTTAGTTCATTTATTTAATCGGCTTGTATATTTTTGTTTGTATGTATTCAAGTAGGCCAATATTATTTAAATATGTTTCTCACGACGAGATTTACAAAAGCGTCCCCATACATGCGAAGGATAACTAATCCCGAGCATCTGAATTCGATTTTTTATGCTCATGTTCTGTCTACGACCAGATTTTTAATTTATCCACGCTGAGTTAAAGCAGGTGAATTAGTAGTGCGCATTGTATTGCTTTTCGATGAACCACAGTTCTAATATCGTCATGAAGAAGGCTAGGACCCTAATGTAATTAGTCTACTAAACAGAACTCGATGTAATTTATTTGGAAGCCTACTTCTACTACCTACTTGGCAGGCAATAACTGTATTATACTTGGGTTGAATTTGCCCAAACCAACAAATCGTACTTTGATCTAGGGTATAGTAATGGCCTCGCACATGACATAAATGTCTCATTCTGTTTACTTTCAGCGGTAGCAAAATTATTCTTCGAGTTCTGGCTCTCCTTTCTGATAACGTTGCCAATTTCGGCTATTATCCTGGTAAGTTCGTAGTTCATCTGATTTGAATTTAATAAATGCAAGAAAACTAAATTGTCAAACAAATTTCGGCCATGCCATAGGCATCTGCCGGTTCCCAGTAGTCTACCTTTATTCGTTTTTTTCATTTCCCTCCTACGTTCATTTTCAACCATCGGGAGAATTTAAGTGTTTAGAGGCTTTGCAATAAAATTGCGTGTTCTCTCGCCAGCGTATGCCAGCATTCTCATGGCTCAACCAAAACATAGCACCCCATTAGGACTGTATTCTTTCCTTTAGAAATTTGAGACGTCATTTAATACGGACCGTACTTCTCGACAACAACATTTTACATTTCTTATTACGGAAATGGAACACCTGGCTAAATTTGCTCTCTGATTAAAGCAGGGAATTTTATTTATATGCATGTGTTCTACATCTTTTCGAGACGACTATCGACGATTAGCTATTGCACAACTAGAAACACATTCGTGCGGTATTAATCGTTATCTATATGGACGACCTTGTCAAGGGCTTTGAAGAAGATTTGCTGCACTGGAACGAACACTAGGCTGCATATATTATTTTGACAAAACAGGTTTTCTTCCACTCTTTCTTCAGGCACAAAACTATACTTACTACATTTTGGCCTCAGTGGCTCTTAGCACATTCATGCCACTGCGCGAGAGCCTAAAAAATAAGGTTTTGCCTTTCATTAGTGACTTTTGCCACAACTAAAACCTTCACCTGCGAGCCGGGCAGTGTAGTGGTGCGTGAAGACATGGCAGAGAGTAGATTGAATGTGCACCGCTGCCTCACGAAAAGGCTTCAACAGGGGAAATGGCGCTTCAACTCGGGTACTGAAATGTAGACATGAACTTCATCTAATTCGCTTCATCTGTCCAAAGTGTGAAGACGACTGGAGGTGAGATTTGGCCCACTGACTAGCAAATCTGAGCTGTCCGTCAACCTGTACCACTGAAAGTGCAGCAGGCTACTCCAGACGATCTGGTTGCCCCTTAAGTGGGTTACCGTTTGGTCACTTCTAACGCTGTGGACAGGATGCCGTGGGCACAGTTGTCAGAGAGGGGGTGTAGAAGGTCTGAAGCAGTTCCTTCCATTCCGACCTAATTGGGTCAGCCAAGTCTGGAATAAACTGTCGCTTTTAATTGGGACTTATGTGATAGTTATTTGTCAACGGTATCTTCTGATGTAATAATATCCAAGGCCATAACCTCCAAGATAAGCAACTTCCAGCTAATCCTAACAGTGTAAAAATGTGCACAAACATTTATTATGCTTTGCTATACGTCTTAAGTCAGCCAGCCAACTTTGGAAGTCCATGTTTACTTGCTTTTGCTTTATAGGGCCCAACAATACTTCTGGTGTTCTACTTTGTTGAGAAACAATTGGAAATCAAACCGAGCTTGACAAATAGTAACAGACCTCTGATCGCTCAACACTGAATTTGTTTACTTCTGTCTGGGTGCTCTCTGTTTGCTAAAAAATTTTAAAAAACCATTTTTATGATATGTTTTCATTGTGAATAAGAAAAACGAATACAAATTTCACTCGGCCATCTCCCATCATTTAGTATCTGCAAAACACTTGACTGCAAACATCTAAGAGTGAATATGCAACTTATGGGCGTACTTGAACTGAATTATATTCAAATATTTTAGACCACCGCAGCGAATATATCTGAATAACCCGTTTGAGCATAAGTCCCTCCAATGCCGCGGATCTCACTGTGTTGCTAAATGTATTCGCTTGTTCAAAACCAAACCACACATCTTGGGCACTTCTGAATCTGAAAGTCGTCAGTGGGCCTTATCGTTTTTTTCTGCATGCAGTTAACTCTGAATAGCTAAATTACCTATTGAGCGGTAGCATTGATGAACGATTTATAATTGACTTAGACTGGTTGAATTCGTGCCATTTATTTACATGCACATTTAAAGATATTTGTTGGGAAATCTAGGCTTCAAGTCACGATTCAGAAACCCATTTTGCGTATGAGCACAGCTCCAGACAGCTCCAGCTCTCTGACTTGTTGAGCGGTTAGATGGCTGATGCAAGGGTTGTCATGTTAGATTTTACATGAACTGAGCGTTATGATTTTTTTTCACTGAGGCCCTCATAGGTTGGAGGCCATTTAAAAGTTTTTTTACACATAGTGACTGAAAACAAAATGGGAAACAGTTTATGGGGGGGGGGTAAGTAATCGAAGCACAGATCTACATTTGGACGTCTGAGGCACCCATGGGCAGCATATTGATGAGCATCTTTTAGAGAAAGTTATCGACGGCAAGACTATAGCTTAAACGTATACATGTGAGGACACCATTTCAGCGCATTAGGCTGCAAACGACAGGCGATAGAGCTTAAAAAATGGAAAAGATTTTATAAACGAAAGACTTCATTCTCTTGAGTGACAAGAAGAAAACGGGCTTAGGGGGGCACGCTGCAATAGCGCGAACCAATGAATTAACAAATCTACGGATTATCTTGAGCGGCAGACTGGCTAAATCCTACCGACAATCGATGATGGGTGATTTCTGGAGATATAATAGTGATATAACGAACACGCGTGCATTTTTCCGCTAGTTTTAGAAGTATGAGTGCTGTATTTGGCTATCGCAGGAGCATGTCGCCAACGGAGTTGTGCATCTAATAACTCTTAAGGGAGCGATCCTTAAAGGTCCTATTCCGTCCTCTTCGATAGTGAAATGGAGAAGCATTTGGCTCGATCCGCTATGTGCTATCCAGCTTGCGCCACGTCCCAAATCGCTGAATGTCGTGCTTAAGCTGTAGGGCATAAGTACACGATCGCGACTCTTTTAAGTCCGGTGTGTTCTTTGAAATGTGTACCCAAACTTCGAGGGTTGCCAGCAGAGGTGTGCTTTAAAAAGAACATTGAACACTGGTTCTTTACAGAATTAACAATCTAATAACTGGGTCGAGTTTTACTATGGAGGATTGAGGTGAAGCCTTTTCGAAAAAAATATTTTCTCACGTTGTACAGCGTCCGATTTTTCAAAATTCATGGGATTACTAAGTATCTTAAAGTAATAAAGAAGTCTCATATCCGAGGTAAAGGAGACTTGAGTGCAGTCGTACCAACTGCTGCACTTGAGTGACAGCGACAGACGTACACCAAGCAGCTAGAGCTAGGCAGCTTGCAGAGCTCGCGGCAGCATGCATCACCCTGTGTATCATCAGCAAACTCGATTACTGAGAATATCGGAATAACTTGGCACTCAAGGTGTCTATCTCCTGTTAACATTTGCATCCAACAGGAAGTCGCGGTATTTCGAGGACGACCGATTCCTTGTCCTTGTGATGTCTACTCAGTAACCACTTGTGAAAGGGAAGCATAATTTTCGGCCATTTGTCGGTTTTTCCAGCGCGTCAGTCGATAAAAGTATATGCCCCGATAAATAGGCATAGTAGGGAGTGCACTTTTCCGTCGGTTTGAAAGGCTTAACTAGTACAGCCGGCTTTCTTAGGCGTACTTTGCCGACAAGATTTTGAACTCATAGCTATTGAGCGAACAGCGTTTAGGGGTGTTATTTTTCAAATACACACCAAGGTCCAATATTAATCATTGGCGTTCCAGAAAACAAAGATGCGATCACTGGTTCATGGAATTTACTGACCTGACGTTTCGGATTCTCA